GCCTTTCTGCTGTTCCCAGGGCTCTTTTTAGCCTGCATGGAGCCGTTCTCCACTGTGACTCCCTTTTTCCATTTCACCCTTCGCTGGATCATTTTATGCCTCTATTCCCTCTGCTAATTCAAACTAATTAAAGTATAAAATAGAATAATTGCTTCCACCCCTATACTCTTCCCATCTACTCGAGGTACAGAGCTATATTCCCTTTCTGGGAGCGGCCAGCCTGACGAGTTGGGCAGGAACCCTGGCTATCCCGTTTCTTTTCATCTTGTTGCTGAAGTTTTCACTTGGCTCTCCGCCTGACTTTCTCTGAACTCCGTCTGACTTCCATTAGATGCTGAGGATACGAGAGCAACTTGTATTCCTGCTTGCAACATCTGTTGACTCTGCTGATGGTTGGAGGTCTGATGACTCTGCTTTCTGGGGAGGAACCAGGTACCCTCTCAGGAACACCTGGGTCATCCACAGTAGGGCTGGGAAATCTGCTCTGAAGTACCCCCTGGGACTGGTGGCCATGGATCCATTAGCAGTACATTAACATTGACTGGCAGTGGCAGTAACGACCCAACACTTCCATTAGTCCTATTTCTTAATTACGTTTAGTTAATTGAGAGAGAGACAGAGACAGTGAGAGAGAAAGAGACAGTGAGAGAGAAAGAGACAGAGGGGGCTGTGCCTATTTGATTGTTCTAGCTTTGTAAGGACATGAAAACCTTCAGGCAGAATAAGATTTGGTTCTACTCCTGTTGGCAGCCCCAAGGCTATAACAACTGCCATGACAGGGAAGGGATGGAAGAACAAAGTCACTGGGATGGAAAAAAGAAGGGAAGAAATTAGGTTGCCCAGCGATTTGCTATCGGTTGAAGTATGGGGAGCCTACTCTCATGATGCCTTAAAGACTGCAGGATTTTTACAGAACTCATCTTAAACGGCTGCCTCTGTGGTCTGGATACAGTGGGAGTGTGTCCTCCATCATTTCATGTGTTCGCAGGTGGTGTGAAACCATGATTAGAAATCACAGAGAGCACTGACTTTTGAAGAGAATGAGGCAGTGGGCCATTCAGTTTGGGCTTTCAGCCTCCAAAGTCATAGCTGAAGAAACTTTGTAACTTTATTAGAAGTCACCCAGTCTCAGATATTTTGTTACAGTAATGGAAAATGGACAGAGACACTGGCGCAACCCAGGAATATACGCATCGATAACCAAACCAGCACTGCTACAGTTTCTAGAGTGTTCTTTATCCAGCAAAGAAGATCATAGGAACACTCAGGACCTCATAACTTCTCCTGAGGTCCTGGTCTAACCGCAAGCCTATCTATGGTGCTTTGCATCATGTCTTCTTCAGCGAGAAAAGAGCCTGAATCCCACTATCCTTAAGATCTAAAAGTTGGATCCATCATCTCTTTTTTGGGGGGCAGGAAAACAACACTTGTTATGCACTGATTTAAACTAAAAAAAAAAAAAAAAAAAACAACAACCCAGTACATCATCTCTATGTTTACAGGAGAGCAGCCAAAGTCCTTGAGAAGTTAAGGGCCAGGTCCCCTGGGGGTTGGGGGTGGCTCACGTGGAGCCACTCGCCTCACCACACCTGCTGCTCCCTAATCAGCCACTCATCTCCACATGCTAAGGAAGGGGATCCTGATGCTCAAGGCTGGGAGGGGCACTACAGAATACCAATGACACATACTTACATGGAATGTGAGGCAGAATAGAACAGAATAGAAAGATGCTCCCTATGTCTTGTCCCAGCAGGGTCTCACACTGACCTGTGTGCAACATGCTATGGTTAAGTGACTTGTCCATGGCCTCTTCTCTACAGAACAGTGAGATGGGACCTGAACCAGACCTTTGGATTTTAAGGACAGTTCTGTGACCTGAAATAATGCCTCTGAGAAATAAAGGGAGACACTGACGCTGTGACACTTCTTTTTTTTTTGATGCTGTGACACTTCTCCTGGTTATCACAAAACTAGACCCTCAGAACCCAGGTCATCTGGCTGCATTTCTAAGGACTTTTCTCCTGTCACCCATTAGCCTGCCTCATAGAAAAGGCCGGGGTTCTCCATGAGTACTCTGCTCAGCTGGCCTCAGACAGATGGGCCTCTTGAGCTGCTCTCACCCTCAGCCCTGACCTCAGCCCCTGATAAAGTCCCCAGGCCTCCTCATTTTCTATATTATATATCCTCCTAGGCAACCAGCCCCCAGAGCTCCATCACACATCTGCCTTGGACTTGGCCTCCTGATTACAGGTCCACCTACTGTGTGAGCTCCCCTACTAATATCTCACTTAACCAGAGGCAGCCTGTGGCCTTGAACCCAGCTCTTGCTATATCTGCCTTTTCATGACTAGCTATTAGTTACGTGCTCTCTTTGGTGCAGGCTGCACTGTGACATAGGTCACGCTAAGCAGATGAGGGTACAGAAGAGCGTATTTATACATGAGCTGCATGGACACTTGGTGTGGCTGAGGCTGATGCTCTCAGAGGCAAGATCTGACAAGGACCCAGGAGGTCACTGAGCACCTTGAAGTCTACTTGCAGTTCTCCAACTGCAACTCAGCTCCTCCTTTGCTCAGTACATTTTGAATGCATTTTTAAAAAGCCAAAATTTATGCCTTGGCATCTTTTCAGTCCCCCCAAGGCTCAGTGATGACTTCTCTTTGTTGTTTTTGCTTTTTCAGTTCACTGGGCTTGCGGAACCCAAGAGGCTGCTCTTACTCTGAGCTCTTTCTCTGGTCACCAGCTGTACCTGGTGTCTCTTAAAAATGCCACACAGAATGTGGGTGTGTTCAGTCCTCCTGACCCCACTTGTACCTGCTTATAATGGGGTATCATATGTGTGTTCATCTTTCTATCTATATATTCTCCTGCAGAAGTGTCAGGGGTGGTGCTCATCAAATGCTAACACAGTGCTTCGTTTTGCACAGTGACAATCTGGTGCTGCATTTTGGATCGTGGGATTTGGTGACTTGTGGCTGTTTTCTGCTTGTAGTGTTTGAATTTCTATGGTGATTGTTTACCATTTTTATCTAAAAATAAGCTTCTGTCTGACAAAGCAGACTATGGAGGAAAAGCAGAGCACTTGTAGACGTTAATTTGATATTAGAGGTGTTAGGGTACATGTCCGACATGGGTTAGATCTAAAACATAACTCAAAAGTTTTATGTATCCAGAAGTGGGAGTTTTGGGAGGTGATCAGAACATGAGGTTTCTGTACTCATCAGTGGCCCAATCAATCCATCGGGGATTAATCAATTCACTGAAAAGTCTGTAGACCAATGTGCTGTAGGAGGTGGGGCGTGGTTGGAAGGAGTGTGACCCGCAAGCGGGGAGTCTTGTGCCCACTTCCTCAGTTCTCCCTGCTTTCTGGCCACCACGTACTGAACAGGCGCCCCTGACGGGCCCTGCAACCATGCTGTTCTGCCTTGGAACCAGCTGACTAAGGACGGAAGCCTCTGACACCCTAAGCCAAAGTCAACTCGTCTTTCTCTAAATGGCTTGCATTGAACATTTTGTCCCAACATTGGAAAACGACTAATGCAATGTCTCTTACCCTCTTTAGATTGTAACCAAAATGAAAGTAACGGATCAAGTCCCATTCATTTTCATGTTTGCCTGGTTCTTTGTTCCCAATAAATGTGTGCCCAGTAATGGTCTCTTCTAGACCTACTTTACCAGGACTTTTATCAGGACCATATTCCACTGTGTATTTTCAAACCTGTTTTACCCACTTGAAGGTAGGCAAAGGTTCCTCCAGCTCTACCAAATTCCCATCTGGACTTGATTATACCTCAACTACAGAGACCACACAAAGAAGGTGAAAAAGACAGGTGGGTTCAAGAGGATCTGGATGTAATTTGCATGCCATTAGCATATGATTTGTGTCATCTAGCCTCAAGAAGCAATTTTCAAGTTAGAGCTGCCTCAGTGCCTCTCTACTGCTGTCATGTGCCCATCTGCCTCTTCCTTACTCTTTCTGCTCGTTGCTCTTCTTGGATTCAGACTCCTTACATTTGAAAAGGAAGGAGTAAAGAACTCTGGGAAAGGTGAAGCCCATCTGGGTCATGGCTCCTTGCAGAATAACCACAAGGACATCCGAGATGGGAGCCACTGGCCCTTCAGCTGCAGCCAGTCTCCTCAGCTGCTGAGGCAGGCCCACAGTCTTACTTCTCCTTCCTTGCATTTATCTGAGTCATCCCGCTCAGGGAAACAACAAGACACAGCTGGCTGCTGAGTGACTGTGAAGCCACTGCCTAGGGAGGGGAATGGACTAGCACTTGCTAAGTTCTTTGCTTAGTCTTCTGGACCCCGGTGATCTGGAGAGCCCCGTCTTCTTTCACTGCACCACGGGCTCCCTCTGAACTGGCCTGCTCTGCTCACACAGTTGGAGCAAAAGCAATCTGGGGGAATAACATCCCTCTCTCCATCCAAGAGCCTGGGAGGCTTGGTCAAATGCCACCCAGCAGAGGACAGATGTAGGCTTTGAGGACCCCCACTCCTCTGCAGGCGTAGTGTCAGCCTTCCAGAGCCGACCACCTTATGCTCAGCCCTGGTCGAAGACTCAGGCAAAGATTTTATCTTTTTCTGGGGCTCTGTCTTGGGTCTGTCTCTCCCAGGAGCCAGCCCAGCCCAGAGGCCTGGATTATTTATACCGCTTTGGCACCCTTGAGCAGCAGACTCTGTGGGCCCGATAGCAGTAAATCTACCTCCTAATCACACCAAGCTGCTTCGTGCAGTCTGGCCGGTTCTTGTGGGCTGTTCATCACTTGCTGAGACAGGGGCTGTGGACAAGGGAGAAGCCTCCGGGAAGTGGCTGGCCCCCCTGCAGTGGCTTTCCTCTGGCTCCCTACAAAAGCCTGCAGGGACTCAGCCTCTCTCAGGGCCCCTGGGCACCAAGCCCAGATGCCTCTTTTGTGAGATGGAAAAACTTCTGAACAAAGGTGACGGATTACCAGAGGTGTCCTGGAGCCTGGAAAAGAGGGGTGGGTGTGAGTACTCACCTGCCTTTCAGACATGATGTACAGGTAGCGCTGATCAATGGAGAAGGCCATGTCGCGGAGGATGGGGCTCCCGTCTTTGAGCACAGAGACCATCTCGTACTGGACCCCACCGTGCGGGGGGCCATCAGCTCGAATCTGCAAGAGAAACCAAGGTGTCCTCAGTATCTACACCAGCTTTCCCCAGTCTCCCTAGAGGAGGCAGCTTCCTCAACACAACCGCTACTCCCTCCAACTGCTACTCTGTAGAAAGAAGAGCCACTTACTCTAAACGCCCCAGTTTCCATCAAGAGGAATCTTTTCCCAGTAGTGTAAGTGTGCTGGGCTTGGGATCACGGATGGCGGTTCATCTGTGTGTGCGCTTATGCTTGTAGGAATGATTTTGAACATCCATATGTGGTAATTCTTGTGTGCATCTATTTATACTTATGGTGCCCTGGGATTGGGATGCATGCGCATGCAAGTGAATGTGTGCTTATGCACACTTGCTAGGTTTGCGGTGGAAGGGCCAACAACTCCACAGTATCCTTGCCCCAGACAGACACTGGGAAATAGTGAATAATTATAAAGCTGTCAAAAAGCTGGTCACCGAGAGAGTCAAGATGTTTAGACCTCTAGACAGGGGCTCTGACGGCCTACAGGCCCACTTAGTGAGCAGAGGGAATCCCAGTTCAGTCCCCTGAGCCCACTGCAGGACAATCAGAAAGCCTTGTCTTTCTCAGCCATGGTTGCACAGTTGAATCATATGGAAAATGTTTGAAAAATACAAGCGCCAGGGCCAGGTTTATCCATCAGAAGCTCTGTGGGTGGGGTCTACACACTGTCATGAGTTTTAAATGCTTCCCACATGAATTAAATGAGCAGCCAGGATTGAGAAGCATCAATATAATCCAGCATTCTCAAGCCAGTATACCCCAATGGGCGAAGGCCTTGTTATATCCAAGGCTGGGGCAGCCCCAGCATTTGGGGTGGGGATGGGGGGAACCTGATGCACACATTTCTATCAAAGTCCCAGGGACTGCCAAGGTTTTTGGTGCAGGGGCCTGAGGAGCGTTGGGCTGACATCGGCGTACACCACACTGAAACTCCAAGGAGAGAGGTCCTAAGGTCATGCACACAGTTCAGGGAAAAGAGCCCCAGGCTCTAACACGCTCCATCCCCATCTTCCTTTCCAGCCTCATGGCTGACCTTTGACCAGTGTTCCCTGCCCTACCTAGTGTTCTTTGTCCTCTGCACACCTAGCCGCACATCCTCTAGCTCAGGACCCACCTCCTCCAGGAAGCCTTCTCAAGGTTTCTATTTTTATTTTACAGAGAATAAAAATATAGTTAAAAAAATTAGAGATGATACAGAATTTCGCCAGACAAAATAATAGGATTTCAACAATGGTTGTCATATTGCATAATGTTATCTTCAAATTAGTTGTTTAAATTACTAGATGTAAGTGTGCAAAATTGGTTAAAAACAGTTATAAGAAATTAAAAAGAAGAAAAAAATGTAAGCACTAACTGCTCCTTTCAAAAGACCAGCAGAAATTAGCAGTATAATTATACAAGCTATCCTGCATATTTATATAAATATATCTTCTTTCTTTCTTTCTTTCTTTCTTTCTTTCTTTCTTTCTTTTTTTTTTTTTTTTTTTCTTTTCTTTTCTTTTTTCTTTCTTCCCTTCCTTCCTTCCTTCCTTCCTTCCTTCCTTCCTTCCTTCCTTCCTTCCTTCCTTCCTTCCTTCCTCCCTCCCTCCCTTCCTTCCTCCTTTGTTTCTCTTTCCTTATCTCAGTTGTTCCTTCCCTCTGAACAGATTCTTTCCCTTTCGCAGTATCTATTGTGCCTTTCAGATTTTATTTACTCTTTCAGGTTCTTACACTAGCAAGCCATATGATGTTTGCACATACAGTTCTGATTTACTTCACTTATGAGTATAGTCTCTAGTTGCATCCATTTTCCTATAAAAGCCTCAAGTTTACCTTTTTTTATAGCTGAGTAATACGCCATTGCATAAAAGCACCACATCTTTTTATCTGTTTCTCAGCTGATGGGCGTTTGGGTTGCTTCCAAGATTTATCTGTGACGGATTGTGCTGCTACACACACGCGTATGCATAGGTCTAATCCATTGCTCCTGTGCTGATGCCTTTTCTTCCCCAGCCATTTAGTCCCAGGATTACCACTACTGCTTTGTTCTCGGTATGTGTTCTCACTACGGGGGTCTGGCACCCAAGTGAGTTGCTCTGTAATCACTTCAGGTGCACGTAAATTCTGTCAACATTTTGAGGGTGGGGATGTGTTATCTGGTTCTCCCACATCGCTCTGTGGAGGTGCATGGGGCTGGAAACCCAGTGCGAGGTGGATAAAGAGGCACACTTGAGACATGCTGCGGAAGGACGTGAGCTGTGAGCTGACTGACAAGGCATCCAGGACACTTTAGTACTAAGTTAAAGTGAGAGCAAAAGTGAAGATGAGGAGGATGGGCCCCCTTCCTCACACCCTCTGCACCACTCTTGTCCTAATGTCTCCTCCCTCTCCCTTTTCTCCTCATCACACTGAGCCTTCCAGAGGCCAAGGGACTCACTCATCCCATGGACCAAGCTGGGTGCTCAATCCTGCTGTCAACATGGAAGCTGGGATGGATGGAGGAGCCTTTGGTTCTTACGGGCAGAGTCAAGGGGGTCACCAGCATCATTTATTCCAGGGTTGGGAGCATGGGGCCAGGGCTTCCATTCCTATTTCTCTACTCTCCTGAGAATTGGCAGACTTGAGGGACCAATTCAGGGCATGGTCTGCACCCATGGGGTTGGGCTGGACTAGGGAGAGTGGGAAGTGGATGGTGACCCACTGCGGGCTTCAAAGCTCTGGGCCTGGAGTTCTCAGTGGCAGAAACAGCAGATTCCCACCTGAGGCTCATGGGCCTCAACTCCAGGGTCAGGAGCAGTAGGTCAGGCCTTGTAGGGACCACAGGACATTTTCCTCCTCATCTCATAGCTAGGGGTTCTGGGCTTGAAGTTAGAAGGATATTTCAGCCAGTCCTACCCTACAACACCTTGGTTTCTCTTGGCCACTCCAACCCCAACACCTCTGTTCCTTCCTCTAAACTCCCTGACTTTTTCCTACCTCAGTAGTGGGCTTTCCACGAGCTGTTACCATGACAACCATCACTGAAGCCCCTCCTTCTGGGAGCCTGGTCAGGGAACTGTTTGTTTCCTCTTTTAGGGGAAGGAAGCCTCTAGGAGCCAGACTTGGATGACATGGGGTATGGCATCTACCATCTACTCCAGAGCAATTATAACTGTGAGACTCAGCAAAACAGGTCTCTATTTGGGAGAAGGTCCCTAAATTAAAGTGGCTTTCCTTAACGTTCAAAGCAGCATTCTCCTGTAGATGCACAGGCCCAAGTTTCCACCAGGCCTCTGCAGAAATGAAGCAGGCCCAAGTACAGGGTGCAGCGGGGTGCTGCGACTTCTGGCCTCAAGTAGCTGGTTGACCTTTCCATGAGCCTGGGCACAGGCCTGGATCCTCAGGAAGATCTGGACATGAGGTCAGAGGAAGAAGGAAAGCTACAGATCTGGCCCTCCCTGTGGTCCCTGGGACCAGGTGGTAGTCAGGTTACAGCTGAAACTGAACCAAAGGCAACCTATGAGCCTCCACTGCTGCATCCAGTTAGGACTAGTTCCAACCAGTAGCTTCTTAGTGGATCAGAGACCTACTCAGAAGCATTTAAAAATTCCTTGTCTGCAATCTCAATCTTTTAATAAACCAGCAGAAGCCAGAATCAGTTCTGTAACTCTCCAAGGCAGAGCTAAAACTAAACCAGAACAGAAGATTTTGTTGGTACTGAATTTCAACTAAGTTCTTCCATCACAAGAGAACCACAGACTGCAGCCATAGGGCTTTGAAGCTCATAATCAAACTCTTTCATTGCCCTGGGTCAAGGGTGGAATGGGGGCTCCATCTGACTCCAGCCTGGTTGGTCCCGAGCAAGGCAGGTGGCCAAAGCACAGCTCCCAATGGCCAGGAGAGCTATGAGCTTCCAAGTTGTCCTCTATTCTTCTCAGATATAGGATACCTAATAGTGAGGGGCTGTCAGGAGGTCTGAAAATAAAAGCAGGCATCTGAAAGCCAACCTTATTGGGTCTACTCTGTGGTGGGAGAGTGACAGCTTTCCTCAGTGTTCAAGCGTGCCTTCCCAGGGCCAGGTGTCAATGACCACAAGCACAACAATCAATTGAAATAAACCACAAATCCAGAGCAAAAGCATGGCATTAGCAGGCCAGGCAGCACATGTCTCAGTGTGTGCCCGGGTAGCAGGAGGAGCTGGGGAGAGAACAGAAGACAGAAGTGGCGGGGACAGGTGGGCTGAGTCACCTAGCATGGTTTTCTAGCTGGTGTCTTGCCCTGAGAGAGCCTGTTCTTGGGGACATGTGGAAGCTCCTGGGCCATTTTGCTAGGATAGGCTCAGGTGGGGGCTGGCTTCACAGAGCAGTGTGGCCCTGTCTGAAGGCAGTTAGACAGACTTGATGCATTTCCCCAGGGCCCTGTTTATCTAATTAACTTTTTCATAGCGACAATATATAGCATTTACAATATTCTCAGAACTATGGAGATCTGCTTCCAACTGCAACCAATCCAACTCTTACAAGGACTCCTGACATAGAGCTACTGCTGTCCCATTTCATAGATAAATCTGATGCCAAGAGAGTTAGGTAATTTTCCAAAGACTACACAACTGAAGAGTGACAGAACTAAGATTTGCACACAGAGCTCCAAATCTCTGTCCCTGCGTGACCTTCCACAAAGGCAAGCATCGCTATTTTTCTGAGATCTTTGAGATCTCAGAAGGTCAAGTTCCCTCTTACAATTATTCTTTGAGACCTCTACCCAGTGGCATGATCACTTGGTGTTGAGGGCAAAAATAAATTCAACCTAATTCGAAGGCTGAAGTTGAGGGCTAAGACTCAACTGAACAGGGCTGGCTTTGGGGCAGAGGCCTGTGAGGAGAGGCCTTGCAGAGATGACTGTCCAGATTTCCAGGCAGGAGGGCGCCCCTGGAAATGAGAATGGAGTGGTCACCCTCTTAGTATCCTTCATTTCAATCACGGCTATGTCGGTACAAAAATTAATGGCAGCCTCTTTACTTGAACA